CTCATGGATGAATATTTTTAGAAAGTTTGAGCTAAGACCATGCAGTCACTCCTGAGCTATGCCAGGGTGAAAAGAAAACAACCACTTTTGCACAAACAATACAGGCATGTAACAAAAAGCCACTGCAAATGGGATTTTTCAGCATCACTCAAAACTAGCTAAGCTTTGAAAGATGAAACTTGCAGTCCAAAATAAATAAATAAATAAATAAATAAATAAATAAATAAAAGGCTTCTAGTGAACAGAAAGGGTTTTGACAATTTACTTAAAAAGCCAGATTAAAGCAAAACAATGTTATATAAATACTAGAAGGCATGTCGCAGCTTGCATGAAGTACAACACTCCATTTACATCACATCTGCTGTGCTAGCCAGACCCAGAGCACTAGTTACCTGCTCACTGCAATGTGGCACGACCCGCTGGTTAAAGCAGCCTGTGAGGAAAGGAGCTCATCGGTTCCTGTGCCCACTGCCATGGGCCCCATGGGGAAGTGTTTTTGCCTTGGGGTGAAGCAGAATAAAGCAGCCTCAGGGACTGCAGCTCCTCTCCATCCCGAGCCCCGTGAAGCTACACGCACCATATATGTGGAACTGTTGTTTCGCTTTCTGCTCTGCAGGCACCAGGACAGAGCAGCTGTAGCAGCTCAGGAGGCCTGAGGTCACCATTATCTCCAGAAAACACCAAAACCTCTCCAGACAACTTGAAGTGGATGTTTTTTAGGACTGTCATTGCAAAAATTTCCTGTTTTTCAGTATTACTCAACCACTCCTCTGGTCAGAGGAGAGATGGAGCTGGGGGTGCCTTTAGCAGCTGAGGAACTAGCGGTGTGCACCGAGAAGGGTACCAGAAGCTCAATCTTCCCCTAAGAGGGAAGAGCAAACAGGCTGGGTCATAGATTTGTTCATCAGCAGCTACAGTGTGTGTGTGTGTGCATAAACATACATACATATATATATACATGTATATACATATGTATATATGCGTGTATATATATTCAGAGACATTTCTCCACAGAAGCTACATGCCCTGAAGAAAAGTCAGTCAATTTTAGTGCATTATTATTGTGGCTGTTTTGATTATCAGGGTCTGGGAGGTCCACACAGGTGGGCAGGAGGTTGGGTACTGCAGCCTCGTTGTCTGCAGCTGTCCACTCTCCTCTGCCCATGGGGATGAGCTGCTCCAGTGTCCCTTGCTCTGGCCCCTCTGTGTGGGACTGGTACCCCAGTCTCAATGCCCACTGGGGATCTCTTGCCACCAATGCACCAGGGAGGCAGTCACAGGGTTTCTCCTCACTCCATCCCCAAAGGGATGAGGGGAGCCACGTTTTCAAGCTCTCTCTAGAGGTCTTTAGTTTCCACCCATTTGGCTCGTCCAGGAGCAGAAGGGGACCACCCTTTCCTATCACATAGGTTTCCCGTGCTTCTCCTGGCTCCTTCCTTCCATAAAGCACTCAAGGTATTGCACAGCACTGAAGGGAAAAAGGCAACTGCTCCTTGCTTCTTCCTCTCTGAACTCAGCCCAGGGCACCAGCCAAGAAGTAGGGGAGGGAACAGGTATTGCTCAGCACAGCAACCCCTTCTGGCACCACACTCAGGCTGCAACTGCAGCACTGGCAGTTAGTTGCAGCCTACTATTTTTGCCTTAGAGAGGTTTTTTTAAGATGGAAAGTTCTAGTGAATTTAAAAAGTTGCAGAGTCAGAAAAACCACAAGGTTTACAAGTGATCTGAGTGTCCTTGAGAAGAACAACGGAAAAACAATACTGAAGCACACCTCTGGAGCTGAGTGGGGCACTGAACCTTCCACATCTTTCCTTTTGTTCTTGCACCGCTGGGAGAGATGGACGGATGTACGCTGCCGGACGCAATCCTGGGTAGGTTGGAGTGGCAGGTAACGAGGATGGGGCTGTGTAATCGTTGAGGTATTTTGATTTCTGTCTGGACCTCAAGACTTTGATAGTTTATCTTATCTTTTTATTCCTTAGAATATTGCAGCTCCCCAAGCTATGAGGGTATTACTGTAACTTGTTATTCTTTAACTTACAGGAAGCTTCAGTGACCGCTTAATGTGATTCAGAAACACTTTTGAACAACAGTGAGCTTAACGTTGCTGCTAATAAGTCTTCTAGGGTTTGAAATTTTAATTGCCAATTCCGTCTGACTCCTATAATTACTTAATTGAAAAAAAGAAAAGGAAAAAACCTCAGTGGTTAACAAGCTGTAGCAGCAAACAGTAAGGCTAGGTTAGTGAAAGGCCCTGCCTAGGGCTGCGTTAGTGACAGCCGTTTCCCTGTTCACACGGGACTGATGTTTGTTTCTTTCTTTACACAGGAGGAATCATATGATATGTTGATAAAGCAAAGGTTTACTGCTAATATTAGATGGCCAGACTGCTGAGGCCGTATCTGACGAACCAAATCTGGCCAGTACTGCTCCTGCCCCCATCAAAGCTGTACGAGTACTTGTGGGGAGCCAACTCCCCATATGCTGCCAATCAGGCAATCTGAATTTTTCATCGTTTACCCACACATTATTCTGGTCTCAGTTTAGCATACCTAGCAGAGAAGGTAACACGGTTCTCCTTTCCTGCAGGCCTTTGGCATGGCACAGAGCAGGTGGAGTTTAACATGGAGTTCAGTAGATGGACACAAACATCTTGGAGAAAGGAGCAGCTGCTTTAGGGCTTGATGCAAGCCAACAGAAATGAATGGAAAACCTCCATTTGCCTTGAATCAGGCCCCTTTGACGAGAACATGAGCACAAAGGCAGAGACAGAATACAGGGATTTTGTGGGGTTCTTGGTATTGAGTTCAGAATGCACCTGGGAGCAAGAAGGAGGTTTGGTTCAGCTTTGCACCCTTGGAAAGCCACCAACTGCCACACATTCTTAAAATAGCAACCAGGAACATTAGAAGCAGAGAACAGTGCTGTAATGCAGACAGTCCTGGGCGGGAAAAAGTAAATGTTTAACAGATCAGAGGAACGTTAGACATGTTTAACTCTAAAAGTGAAGAACAACTGCATCCTTTCCAGAACAAGAACAGAGAAAACACGTTAATAACTGACATGGAAAAAACAACTACGGTTGAGACATAACCCATTGCATTGTCTCTCTCGGGAATGACCAACATCACATTCAGGTGGCGTGAACTTTGCTTCGTAATCTACCTCTTTTAACCTCTACATAAATACACTGCTTGTGGTGCTTCCCCTTGCACTTCATCTGTTATTACCAGCAGCTGTAGAAATCCTTGAAGCCTCCCTCAGCAGACACTAAACAGGGATTTGAATTAAGATCCTGCTGCAGAAAACATCTTTGCACTTTTAAGTCTTGTACCATGGTAAAAATTTTGCAAAGCACTCAGGGAGTCTGACGGTGCCCCCCAAACCCTTCCTTCTCTTCTCCGCCAGTTATGCTGTTTTTGAGAGATTTTTCACAGTGCACCAGGTATGTGGGTCTTCAATATTTATCTTAGCGAAACAGTTGTGGTTTTCCACACAAGGCGTTCTAAAGCATGCTGGCACTTTAATAGCTGAATACCACATTAGCTCCACTTTTCCTTAGAAGGAAGTGATAAAATAGCTAATTTATACTGTCTCTTAAATGCACAATGCAAAGTCACCGTGTTTTTTCCTGTTCTGTGGGATGGTGAGGCATGAAAGTTGACTATTGTTGGGTACGTGACGCTGTTCCCCTACTTTTCCTGCATGTGCAGGAAAATGGAGACAGTCTTTACTAGAAGTGTTTGTGGAGCAGGAACAGCGAAGCAAAATTGCAGGGCAAATTGCCTGGCCTGAAACATGAGCAGGAAGGATATCAGCAACATAACTTCGGTGGTTTCAGAAATAAAATAGAGTGCTATTTTAACTGATCATAATTGACCAACAGTGCTTTACTGAATTACCTCCAAGTGACATCACTTCTAGCAGCACATTGTCAGCAGCATGCTAGAGTGTTAGCTCTGCCTGGACCTGTTAGCAAGGTACCCCGTTACAAGCAACCAGCACCATTTTTGCTGTTGTCCAGGCCCCATGGTGCCCAGGGTGAGGAAAGCAGGTGAGAACAGCAATGCCTGCAGCACTATGGTTGCAGCATAACACACAAGACTTAGATCACCACTCCCCCACTCCTTAAAAGGTCATAAATGGTTATTGCAAAAGTGTAGAAAAAATTGCCTTGCTGCTTGTAACAAACCTATGCCAGGGAGGCAAAATGGAGCAGAGCCAAAGCAGAGTTAAGAGTGACTGAAGGGAAACAGAAGCAGGGAAGGAGAAAAAGGCTTTTACATGGTTATTAAGCATTTACAGTGTTCTCATGCATCTTAGGTAAGCCACCTGAAGGTAAGTGTTATAATGGGCATCAGCCCTCGCCTTGTGTTCTGCCTACAAGTGCAAGAGGAGGCTTGGAATGGGGCACTGCAGAGGAAAACAGGAATATCTAGAAGTCAGGTTGACTGGAGACAGGTGTATACAACAAGGAGGAGGAGGAGGAGGGAAGGGCTGAAGGCTGCTGGTGATATGAACACACAATTCCATCTCTTAGTCTAAAGGTCATGGCAATTAAAGTCAAAAGGCTGTCTTTTGGCATGGCTCACCTGCATGAGCTGATTTAATTATTCACACAAGGGAGAGGGAAGCTCTCTCCTTCCTCAATGAGGAAAGGACTGCAAAAAGCACACTAGGTGTGTGTGTCGGGGGGGCTTTTGAGCAGGTTTGTTGTGTGCAATGAACCAGTGTTCCTCTGCACACAGGAGAATCCTTTTTCTGGAGTCCTGGATTCAGCAGCACCAACAGGGAGTCTTATCAGACTGAGAAGTCAGAGAAGCAGCACCGAAAGCTCTGTAAAACAATCCACTTATTTGTTTTTAAGAACATTACCTTTTAGGCTGTGAGACTGTCTCAAGTCCTGACCTGCACTCTCCCACCCAATCATGAGAAATAAGCCACTGCTCTGCTTATCTTCCTTCTCACCTCTCTGGACAGACAAGGGGACTTCCCCAGGATTTCAGAGAATCAAGTTTTATTCTCCAAGGAGACAGAAGCAACCAATAAAGTTCTCTTTATTACAGACCTACAAAAGGAAACCCATAAAATACTTCTCTCCATTTTCTCTTATAAAAGACAGGAGCCCACAGATTTGCAGAAGATTCATACGTGTCCCAGCAACATGAGGACAGAGGGAAAAGGACACACTTTTTTACAGACAATGCAGAGGCATTCTCGGCATTAAACAAACCCACCCAGGGCAGGTATGCATCCACATCTTGCAGGGAGCAGCTGCCCTCTGCTCTGGGCTATCTGATGCTAGGCAAAGGGAAAAAAAAAATTCCTCCTCTAACTCAGCAGCAGTTCCACACATCAGCTCTTTGCTGATAAAGATGGGCTCCTAATTCCAGCCACATTCCCCACCTGGAGAATAAGCAGCTGTGCTCCTCAGCACCCTTTACAACTACTGCTGCCCAAGAGAAGGGGGGAGTGGGAAGGAAAGGTTACAACATTGCCCGTCTCCTAAAACCCCCAAAACAGAATAAAACCCCAGGTTGTACAAGGCAGGCAGGTCACGTGCCCCTCAGCTCTTCCAGGCAAGGAATGCATGACATAGATGCATCCAGAGGCAGAGGTACAGCCACCTTTTTACTTCAGGCTCCGATGAGTTTCTTGAGGAATGCTTCCAGCTGATCCTCATCTTTTATCCCTACAAACTTATCCACAACGTCTCCATTCTTCATAGCCAGCACAGTCGGCACTGCTGATACCTGGGGGATAAGAGAAGCAGAGACCTGTATAAGCAAAGGCTGCAAGGAGCACAGCTGCACCCAGACTCCTCTTTGGAGGTCTACAAAGACGCATTGCACCTCCTCAGAGTTGCTCACACCTGGGGGCAGTAAGTTAACTACACTTGGCTAGAGACCAAAAGCAAGGTACAAGAAAAGAGAGAGGTATTTTTAGTTAAGACTTTGTTTTCCACTTCCAGGGACTTCACTTTCTATGGCTAAAGGCATTTTATTAAAAGCAAGCCACAAATTCAACCTCCTCAGGCCTCTCTCTGTGGATAAGACAGCTAACTGTACACTGCCCAAGGCTAACATGTTCCCTAGCAAAACCAGGGCCAGCTAGCCTCCGTGTTCTTCTCTCTGTGGCCTTATCTCCGTACTGACTTCAGTAATACTGCTCAAGTTAAGTCTGTGCAACTTTTCTAGTTTAAGAAAGACCCAAAATTTAACAGATAGATAAAACCAAATCTAATATAAAATTAAACAGGTAAAGCTTTTTCTCCCTCCAGTACAAATTATTCTTCTCCTTTCAGGTTTCCCGTTTATCCTCTCATGAGCAAACAAACCCAGTCTTTTACCAGTACTTTCCACGATACCTCTCAGACATGATCTTTGGATGTTTTATGGCTGGGCTGGTATGAGACTGGGCCTGTGTTTTTCTCCAGTTAGGACAGGAACTAGGGGAGGGTTCCCCACCTACCACTGAACAGGCAGAAGATTTCCTGCTCTATTCTGCCACTCTACTGACAAACCCTTCCATCCCATCTTTCCTTTTCAGCTTGTGCTTTCAGTGGTTTAGCTTGTCACATATCAGTGGCTCTCCACTACGCATCCCTGAGAATTAGGTAAAAAGAGAGAAATCCCTTCAATCAGAGATAGCAGGCAGCCACATTGCTCTAGGTGCTACTATTTCAGACCAGAACAAAATTTGCTGGGAATTACCCAAGAGAACAGCAGTGGAAGTGACAATGCTCTCCAGGGACTTGTCGGACGAACGACATCAGAAGAAGAGACCTTGCGGACACAATCCAGAGAAGGAGCAATCAAAGCTTAAAGTTCATGAGGGAGAGATCTGGTCATGTTTCTGACTAGACAGCTACATGCTCCCACAGCCTCAGCACCCTTTTATCTGTACAAAGCCTTTCCCCTGAAACACATATCTTGCCTTCCTGACCATATCTTGCCTGCTGCCTGTTTGCCAGCCTGCAGGGCCTTCCCTCATATGCTCCCAGCTGTCTTCCACCTCACTGCCAGCAAGGATCTGCCACACTCGCAAATCCTTCCGGCAGGAAACCCTCCAGAGATCTGGCTTTGCGCCCATCAGGGGTTTGAGATGAAAGAGACATTTTGTTCTTCCGTTTCTACCCCATCCTAGCTGGCCAGTTCAGCAAGGTTTCCTCCAGCCTGTCCTCCAGGGCTTTGTTTGTTAATTTGACAGGATGGCAGCAATGGGGCTCCTGCCACCTCCTCTAGTGCTGGTGCAACGCATGCTCTCCAGCTCCTCCTAGTGACTGGCTGCAGCAGATCTGGAAAACTTAGGCCCCAGAGCTGCTGACATGCTCACTTGTGATTTCAGACAAGAGAAGAACAGTACAAGTACCACATTTGACTGGTCTCTCCTCTCCCAGAAGGGCAAAGCTCCACAGAGCTTCCTTCTGATTTGTTAAGTGGGGTAATAACAAGCAGAATTACCCCAGCTCCATTCAAAAAACAGTGTATCCAACCAGCAACATCAAACGTCGTGCCACAAGACACAGCACTAGGCCAGGTGAGGAACAGATGACACTTCAAAGCGCTAGAGAAGACCAGATAATACTGAGTTACAGGGCTCTGCATGCTGACCAGCAGACCCATGAGCTTCATGCATACTTGCTCCCTTCATCTCCTCCCATACGTCTCAAGTCAGGCAAAATATCAGTACCGACAGGCAACATGCCCAGATCTCCTCCTTCCCTGTTCCCCTGGGGTGGCAGCAGAAGCATCGTGCTCTATACTTTTAAAAGTCAAAGAAAAATCTCAGCAGTCTGAAAGAGAAAGACACAATGGCAGTTTTAAAACTGGGCACCATAAAGTTGGAAGCTCTGAGTGGGACTCGACTCCCCTCCCCTTTTTTGTAGCAGTGAGGAAATCCTGACAGCAGGCCCAGGGGTTGAGACCGCATAGCTGGGCAAGAACCAGGGACCCTGTGAGCTCCTTGCATTTGCCGAGAGAAAAATGACATTCTTGACAGCATCCCTCCTGCTAGCTACAGAAGAGGCAGCCTGTTAATGGAGCATGTGCTTTGTGTTTTGGTGCTTGTGAAGCAATTATCATGGGAATTTCTAAGACAGGAAACTTTTGGCTTCTTGTTGTCATCCTCCTCTTTTTTGGATCCAATCTGCACTGAAACTGAACATTTCTGGAAGAAAGGTCAGGCTGCTTTTGATCAGCACTGAAAAAAAAGGGGGGGGG